CAACAACAACAACAACAAAGAATGGAACATGCACAGATTCATAAGGATCCCTTAGTGCAGGGCTAATCAACTGGCGGCCCGCGGGCCGGATGTGGCCGAGTGACCAAAGTTCAGCCCGCCAATTGGTTCATTCATTTCTTAAGCCCAAACCCCGGGTTTTCTACTTTAATTACTCTTTTATTCTTTTAGTTAAACATAGACATATTTGGTATCTGGATAGAAGCTGGTGAAAAACATTTCTACGCACACTAAAGACAGTTAAAATTACAAACAGTTGAAGATAAAACTACGAAAGTGAAAATAAAGTAGGTTTAAAAATTTGGCAAGTCAGAGATGTCAAAATGATAGGAGGCAGAATGTGTTCTTTTTTGTTTTTGATATTGTTTAATTATCACTACGGTACTTTTAAAGGATTCTATATGTTGTATTTATGATTAAATACAGTAAAATAAACTATTTCAAAGGTAACAGATCTTTTTAATACTTGGTTTATTTACATAATGACTTTAATAGCTGGAAATAGCTGGATGTTCGKCCCCTGAGCCGTTGACGTCAGTAGTGACTTCAGACATCAGAGGTCTTTCAGTTAGTTTAGATACATTTGTTTTGTGTACACTATACAGTATATAGTGTATGTATAGTATTGAATGTTTCTGCACAGATAAAGAAGAACAAAGTCTCCCTGTCCTGTCGTGTGTCGGGCTGCATGTGGGAGAATAGAACAGAGCCTGTCTGAAGCAGGACAGAGCCCAGCCCATGTTAGCTTTAATTACATCACATGGTGGATTACACCACAGGGTCACAGTCTGACCACACAGACAGGCTGATATCAGGGCTCTGCAGGCAGCTCTATGCAAACATTACATCGTCCTCCGTCAACCTGTGGGCCGTTTGCAGAAGATGAAAGATCACCGACAGCTGGTTTATCTGGTTTACTGAGTAACCACACATTGCTAAAGATACTTTTAGTTTTGCTTTGATATTGTTGGTCTTGTGGCATTTTATGGACGTCCATTAAACTGGAAACTCACCAAACAGTCATTCAGACTTGAACGTGCACAGTATAGAGAATTAAAATCTCTAACACATTTGGACATAAGGTTATTTTATCTGAGTTTATATTTCAATGAATAAATGCTTTTTTTTTTCAAATAACCATGTATAAAATAATAATAATAACAACCCAATAATAACACAGTAACCATTCTTTTTTATTTTAAACATAAGTAAACAAAGTAAAAACAAAAGTGACACTTTAGTCAACAATTACCATAACATTTTTTTCTAATTGTACATTTAGATGTTTTCCAGGGGCATGAAATAAGTAAGCCCTAGAAATCTTTGAAGAAAATGATATTGCCTTCCATCGTTCATGCCAGAGTTTTAAACCATCTTATTTATAAGAAAAATCTCACACAAACGTAGAATCTTGAAGAGTGTTGGAAATGACTCGACAGTCAGACCAAATGATGGCTCAGTATTTGTAAAACTGGCTGAGTTACAGCAATTTTCTGTGTTCAGGTGGCTGTGGAGGCCATCTTGACTCTGATTGACTTCAAAAGTTAATCACTTGTTGCTGTATGTGTTTGAAATGCATTTTGAAAGTTTGACTAAAATCCGTTCAGAGTTTCACAAGACATGTTGCTAACAGACAGAGTTGACTTCAACAGTTAATTCTCAAGTTTTAAACAAAAGTTTAATGCAATCAGTTTGCACTCAGAGTGTACTGCATGTTGTGGATGACTCTCAGCTACTAYCCCTCCAAATTTYAGWTCAATATCTGCAAAACTGACTGAAATGTACCCATTTTTGTGTTTTCTACGTTCATTTGGCTGTGGTGGCTACTTTGAACTTTATTGTCTCTAAACATCAATYAATTGTACGTCTATGTTCAATAATTACTTTCTGAGAGTTTCATTAAAATCCATGAAGTCTTTTTGCTAACAGACAGTTAGATGAACACAAAGAGGCAAATCACTGTCGCCCGGGGACAAGGAACTGAAGTCAAAACACTTTGTTCCACAGAGGCTTCATAGACGTGTGTGAGCGTTTTTTTCAGAGTGAACCGTCTCTTTTTCGTTGCCTCGAAGCTTGCAGGCGCCTGTTGCTCTACAAACCTATTTAATGTGAGTGGGTCAAAGGTCGCAGCGCAGAAACAACTGACTGTTTTGTTGTGTGCTTCCTTCCTCTAGTGATCAGACGTTTCAGTAATGCTGACTCCAGACCTGGTCTGTGTGTGTGTGTGTGTGTGTGTGTGTGTGTGTGTGTGTGTGTGTGTGTGTGTGTGTGTGTGTGTGTG